TTTAATATTAACTATACAGAGATGAGATGAAAAGAAAATACCATGTTAACTTTTCTGAAGACAGTCAGTTCCCCTCAGAAACACATTCACATAAAAACAATATTGATATTGTTTTCATACAAATCAATATGGAGGATTTTCTTCCAATAGTTTGTGCATCATGAACAGTGAGCTACAGTATTTTTCTCTGTGCGTCCGTCTTCAGCGTCTCTGGCCTGTGTTAACGGGCGTTTACAGACTTCATATTTTCACATAAATGACATTTTGGAAAACGATTGCATTGCAACGCAGTTTGTGAAAGTCCAGAACAGAGACGAGCTGCAATAAGACAAAACACAGCCGGTTGCTGATCGCGTGAGTTCGAGGGGAAGCTCCTTTAGTTCGGCCGTACACACACGTGACTGACCGCTCGCTCGCACCAACAGCAGGAGGCTCGTGTTACTCTCTACACTGCACTCAACCTGAGGGATTCCTACACTTTCAGTCTCTGAGGAATAATCTATATAAAAATATAATATATTGATTAAATATAATCAACCACCACCAGTTTGCAGCATCCACCTGGATGTGACAGCAGCCATATTGCGCCAGAACACCCACCATACACACACCAGCTAACTAATATTTTATTCAATAGTACAATAAAAGATTGTTTTCAAGAATACAATAATTTATTTCAGAGATATAAAAAAATATAATCTCAAGTAAGTGTATTCAGTTCTTATTCTGCTGGATCTATCTGCCATTTTTGACACTGTGAATCATCAGATTATCCTGTCTGCCATCACCGGATCTGCACTCCACTGGTTTGAATCTTATCTCACAGGTAGGTCTTTCAGGGTGGCCTGGGGAGGAGAGGTATCCAAAGAACATCGACTGGCCACAGGGTTTCCTCAGAGATCAGTTATTGGACCGCTCCTCTTCTCCATATACACTACATCACTGGGACCCATCATACAAGCACATGGTTTCTCCTACCATTGCTATGCTGATGACACACAGCTCTATCTCTCATTTCAACCAGATGATCCAATGGTAGCTGCACGGATCTCAGGCTGCCTGGCAAACATCGCGGCATGGATGAAGGAACATCACCTGCAGCTCAACCTGACAAAGACTGAGCTTCTTGTTTTCCCTGCCACTTCGACTCTACAGCATGATTTCATCATCCAGCTAGGTTCATCAAAAATTATTCTTGGGTGACCAGCTGACCTTCAAGGACCATATTGTAAAGACAGCTCTATCATGCAGGTTTGCATTGCAGAAAACCAGGAGGATCAGGCCCTTCCAAACAGAGCATGCTGCACAACTTCTTGTCCAGGCCCTTGTCATCTCTAGGCTGGACTACTGCAATGCTCTTCTGGCTGGACTTCCATCAAGCACAATCAAACCTCTACAAATGATTCAGAATGCAGCGGCACGACTGGTCTTCCATGAGCCCAAAAGAGGCCATGTTACACCTCTCTTTATCTCTCTGCACTGGCTACCGGTTGCAGCTCGCATCAAGTTCAAGACATTGATGTTTGCTTACAGAACAGCCACAGGCTCAGCACCCGCCTACTATCTCCTCACTCGAGTTACGAATCTACATCCCCTCCAGAAGCCTGAGCTCTGTAAGTAAGCGATGCCTTGCGGTAACATCACAGAGAGGCATTTTCGTTCACCTTTCCCAGCTGGTGAAATGATCTTCCCACAATCGCAGTAATTAACAGAACACCTGACACGTTATCGGACAGCAGCACTAATTTAATCCCATACCCGACACATTTGACATAAAAACTGGGACCCGCACCTGCATTAAATCTCCTACATGAGGTAGACAAAACTTATTTATTAAAACTTTCATTAAAATTGTGAACAGATTAAATACAGAACGCAAGCAAAGAGCGCTCCCTTTAATGTAATCACTTCAGCTGTCAATCAGTGGCAGCGTGATTGGCTACATTGCTCAGCGTGTACTGGACCGAGTCGAAATAGTCTTGGTTATTGGACTCGCAACCCGCCCGTGCTTGTCACCGTCCAGCCCGCACCCGCACCACACCCTACACATAAATATTATTCCACCCATTACATCAAATATTAGCGATTCACCGGCAGCGTGATTGGCTACATTGCTCAGCGTGTACTGGACCGAGTCGAAATAGTCTTGGTTATTGGACTCGCAACCCGCTCATGCTTGTCACCGTCAGGCCCGCACCCGCACCACACCCTACACATAAATATTATTCCACACGTTACATCAAATATTAGCGATTCACCTGCGTGTACCCACCCGCATGCAGGACTCTGGCTTCCCCCCTGGACAACATAATAGACAACTCTGGCCCCAGAGAGCGATTGTAAATTAAGTTTACATGAAATATGTTTGAAATTTCATTCTGCATCTTCTGAGATTTCATTAATCCTTTTCATAAAGTCACTGAATTAACCATTAACTGTTCACCTGATTGCGTTGCCGTCTGTGTGTGATGTTGGAGCGTTGTTGAGAACAATAATGTATTGGAAACACACTACCGCCTACCTGACTCTGCCTGAAAGGTAAGAAAATACACTTACCCGAGATGATTTTTTTTTTAATATCTCTGAAATATATGATAGTATTCTTGAAAACAATCTCCCCTTTAAGACTTTCTGCTCTCCTTTAAAATCTTTTAGGGCTTTAATTTGTGGAAGGATGAATTAAGACTTTTAAAGACTTGCAGAAAGTCTGAATAAAAGGTAATGGTGTAAATTATGAGTTATTTCATTCCAATGAAAACCAGCATCTGAAACACAGAAGAGACGTGTGACCGAAGGCTGGTCTCCTGACGCGTCTCTCACCTCGATGGCCACGCTTCCCTCTTTGTTCTTCAAGAGCTGCAGTTCATCCAGCTGCTGCTTCTGCTCTTCTGTCAGAGTCTGAGAGTCGGCCGAACTGCAGCCCGGAGAGTTTTCCTGCCACACGGAGACAAGATCACTTCCGAGGTCAGGCAGATGCTAGGGTTCAGCCCTGAAGCTGAAGCACTACACCATTAATCTCGAGCGCACTGCTGCACACACACGCTCGCTCGCTTCAGTCGGGCTGTCCATTTGAAAATATGCTATTAAAAATAAAACTGAATCCGTTTATAATAAAATCTGAGAATTTACATCCAATTCAAACGGATAAGTGTGAGTAATGCGGGCTCTCACCTCGGCATCAGCAGGAACAGACAGATCGTCCAGGCCAACGATCTTCCCGTCTTTATTGATCTCATGGACCACAAAGTCTGAGTACCTGAATGAGAGAAGGACACATGTCACTGACACTCCTGTCACACACACACTCTCTCTCTCTCTCTCTCTCTCTCTCTCACACACACACTCTCTCTCTCACACACACACACACTCTCACACACTCTGTCTCTCTCACACACACACACACTCACACACTCTCTCTCACCCACACACACTCACACTCTCTCTCTCTCACACACACACACACACCTCTCCTTCAGGACGCCAGAGAAGCCTCTGTGCTCGCTGATGAACTTGAGAATGCCCACGTCTGCCTCGCTGAGGCCGTGCTTCATCATGTCCGCGAAGCTCTCCTCCTGCTCGACCCGGAGCCTCTTGGCGGCGTGATCCGGATCCTCATCCGGGAGGGAGCGCTTCTCCGCGGTCAGAACTGAGACCGGACTGGCCTCGGCCTCCTCCATCGGCCCGAGCTGTTAGAGAGGAAGTGAGAGCCAGGTCTGAACCAGTCTATGTCTAGGTTACTATAGTGTACACACTGTATCTATATATTCGCGGTTTGAGAGCTAATTACAGCAGGGTTTAGATTATACATTTACTCACATCTCGGATGGCAGCTGCAGAAACTGTAGAGTGTGAGTGACAGTAAAGCCGGATCGTTTAAGGCGGAAAATGCGCTTAAACACGGAATGAGAACAAAACAGCACAGATCTGAAAGCACAGAGGTCGACACGAACTAACTAAATCTGTTCAAAAGCACGAAACTCTCAGGACTGGAGCAGAGCACTCTGTACCGATCTAACCGTGCGCACACGAGACGCACCGCTCCGCAAAACATCCACACACGTGCTTCCTCTGACTCTCACATACCCCGGAAACGAATCCGCCACAAACCCCGCCCCTCGCGTATGTCATTGGTTTACACCCTTGTCAATCACAGCTATCAGGCGTAACGGACAGCAAGAAACAGCGTTCAAGGATTCAAAGCGTTTATTATGTCATATGCCCAGTGAGGAAAACTAGTTTCCCTGAGCAATGAAATTCTTCCTTTGCTGTCCACAATGAATGCCAAGACAAGTGCAAAACTGTACACACATACACACATACATACATTCAAACAAACGTAATAAACAATAATAAAAACTATGCTACAGGAGTAGGAATATAGACTATGAAAAAATCGAATGTATATATATATATATGCGAATGTACAGTATTACTTATGTGCAAAAAACAATAGTGCAGTAACGTGTGCAAATTGAGTGCAACTACATGATAACAATAGCAGCAGTAACAGTAACAGATGTGCAAATTGAGATGAGGCTACATGAGTAATATTAACAAATATGCAATGGTAGTAATAGCAGCACTAACATTACAAGTGTTCAAATGAGATGAAACAATTGGACCGACTGTTCGCTGAGATAGATAAGTCCACTAGCTAGCTACCTGTTTAAGAGTCTAATAGCTGAGGGGAAGAAAGAGTTCCTTAATCTGGAAGTCCTGCAATTTACACTCCTGTACCTCCGTCCTGAGGGTAGGAGTGTGAACAGTCTGAATGATGGATGCAGCTCTGCGGTGGTAAATGGCCTGCAGAGAGGGACATGTGCGGTCCCTCACTGTAGTGCTGCCATACCACACGGTGATGCAGCTGGTCAAGACGCTCTCAACTACACAGCTGTAGAAGTTGTTGAGGATCTTAGGTGACATGCCAAACTTCCTCGTCCTGACTCCTGAGGGTAGGAGTGTGAACAGCCTGTGTTGGGGGTGGCTGGGGTCTTTAAAGGAACACTCCACTATTTTTTAAATTAGGCTCATTTTCCAACTCCCCTAGAGTTAAACAGTTGAGTTTTACCATTTTAGAATCTATTCAGCCGATCTCCGGGTCTGGCGGTAGCACTTTTAGCGTAGCTTAGCATAGATCATTGAATCTGATTAGACCGTTAGCATCTCGCTCAAAAATGACCAAAGAGTAACTACAGAAGAGTCAAGTTTTAAATAGGAAAAATATAGAAACTCTTTGGTCATTTTTGAGCGAGATGCTAACGGTCTAATCAGATTCA